GCTATAAATAGCAAAACCAATTGTAAGGCACTCCATTCCCATATTGCGTTTGGATCTACGATTCTTTTGCATTAGCGCAACAATAACTGTGCAGTTGCCCTCCTCGTCCTGCTCATCGGGATCCACCAGGGTAATGATGTATTGAGGATTATGCCAAAATGTATCTAAGAAATTTCTGCAGCCACCTGCTGTGACGCCAGGTGTCCATTCACCCTCGTACATTGACATCTCCCATTTGCGTTTACCGCTGTGTGGATCGTCAGATGTCTTTGAGAAAGACTCTGGCGATAAATTGCAAAGCTCAACACGATCAAAATGAGTTAAGAAATCTTGAAATGTCATCCAAAACTCTCCATCTCTATCGAAGTTGAGACCAATTTCCTGCTTCTGTTCCTCGGGTATATAACGCCATTCAGGCGAGCTATCGCTCCATGGACCATTCCACTCTGCTTCATTTCCCCAAGGATTCCGCATGCGAATCATTGGAATCTTTCCTTGCCGATTCGGTGTCACGATATCAATGAGGCAAACCTGCGGACATTTATATATGCATAGCAATAAGTAAATATACTAAAAATAAATAATAACAACAGTACTTTAGTAATAGAGTAAGCATGTCCTCGAATCAATCCTTGAGGCGTTTCAGCTTCCAGCACATTGGGATCTGCTTCAATCGAACAACCCATCATAGAGTTACGTTCAGCTGCTTTTTGGAGTATAGTAAACAAATTTGGTGGTGCCTCTTTAAGGTCAAACCATTCACTGACACCTCCTGTAAAATCTTCCATCGCCTCGCATGTGGTGCCACCCTTAAGTGCTTCATACGATCCATGCAGTCTACGTTTATACAAATTAGTAGTATATAATGATTTTGTAATTAATTTACATACTTGGCATATGCTTTCTCCAAAAGTGCACTCCAGAATTCATTTTTCTCAGCCGAATGCATATAGAGCAACTCTCCTCGATACGTTGGCAAACGATCATCAATAATTACATCAACCCATTTACCTGATTATATGTACATAAAGCATTATTATTTTTATAATTTCTTAATACTTAAGCCAAAAACAATAAATATTATACTGTGATCAGGTCTAATAATAATTTAGAAGAGATGTATCAATTATCAATTTTTTCTACCCAAGAATATATATTACCGTATTGCCAGAAGCGAAAATGAAATATTCCAGCGTAGTTTTCTTGAAAGCTCTGCTCTGGTGGTATTACACGGAAGAACAAGGATGATTCAGATGTCAAATTGGCAGTGGCAGCCAGTAGCCAGCAATCCCCAAGCTCGCCTTGTTGCACATCAAATCGAGAATAGCCTTCTACAAAGAATTGCGGATTTTCAACAATTTCCTGGAATTGCAAATTTCATTATTAATATTTAATCTCTTCAATTATTTTACAATTAGAACTTACATGAGGACGCAACCATTCTATATAGCGATCGGGGCGACGTGAGAACATAAGCGACTCATTGCTAGCCGGAAACTGTGGATCCTCAAACAGTGATCCGCTCGTCAAGCAGCTATTCAATATAGTTTCATAATCCTGCACCTCCGAATAGGGACCGAGATTCGATTGTGTTTCGCCCAGCTAGAAAAATATGTAATTGTTAATAAAATCGATATAGAGGGTTTTTAGGGGAATTTATGTTGCGGATAATTGAAGGAAATAGAATGAAAGACATCTATTTTATATAATTCTATAGAGAATATTACATTTAGAGGTACATATATATATTGTTATATATTTTACATATTTTTACAATATACATTTTAAAATTTCTTTAAAAAAAATTAAATATAATATAAATCATATTTTTAGAGAGCGACCTGCAGACTTTCTCCTGAGATTTGCCAACATCCGTAACACCCTTAATTGTTAAAAAAATATGTCTGTCAATTTCTTCAGTTCCGTTACAGCTTCCTGTACAGGCGCTTTTAAATCCGTGTTAATTTCCATAAATTATATCTTATCTTTATATAGTACACACAAAAAGAAAGCTAATCGTTTAATTGATTTAAAACTGATTTAAAAACCAGCAAATCTATAACTATTTTATTTGACAGTCTTAATATCAATATACATGTGTATATGTAAATGAAAAATAGTGTAAGTAGTGTAGTGAAGCTTAGCTAATAAAAATTTTATTGAGCTTTACTAATAAGTCATAGACATGTGTTTAGACAACTTAGGGCTAGAAACAATTGCATTAAGAAACACGAACATACACACACATAGTATTTTAGACAATTTATTAGCCTTACTTACATTACCATAAAATATAGGTATAGGTGCACTATTCAATGGGCGCTATATTTTAAATTTTATTGTTTTTTTTATGGTTAATTGACAGAAATGTTAGATGTGTATAAATGATATGAATGTCTAAGAGTATATATGTATGTATATCGAGCACAAAATATATAGTAGATCATGCATTGTAATTAATTTATAGCTTACCACACGCATGTTCTTAATGCTTGGTAGGATTCGCTTTGTCTCCGATTCCTTTTTGACAAAGATTTCGTTTATGACGGAGCCAACGACTTCCTTGGCCGCGCCCATTGCTGCCTGGCCAGCGGCATTGAGAAACTCCTGGCCAGCCTGCTTAAAAAATCCTTTGAGTTCATCCATCTTGGAATGAGCACCTGAAAAGTAAAATTTAAAGTGAGTTTTGAATGAATGTTTATAAAATAAATGAAAGCAATTGTTTGATGTAATACCTATGGGTATAACCATTTTTTATTTATTTATTTTTATTTCTAATTGATAAATGACGGCAATGAAATTCGCCAAGTGAAGTTTAGGAAGTAAGTATACTATATAGTTCTATCTGACCGCTCTTGACTATAGCACTCTCAATAATGTTCTGAATAAAATTTGTTCTATGTTATATCTTTATAGTTACATTTCTCACTGCTCTTAGACATTTACTTAATTTTGTTTAGCAAATGAACAGCTTGGGACAAGTTTTAAATTATCCCAGTGGTAATTATTTTGTCAGTATTAACTCAGAAATTATACATATATACATATTATTCTATGAAGTCACGCAATGAGACATACTTAATAGTCAAACTCATTCTGAGAACATTCGCAACAGAAACGCTATGAAAATAATCTTTAATAATAAATATAAAAGGTAAAATTTTAGAGCAAATTAAATTCCCATGAAATGGTTTTTTTTTTTCCTTTTTGAAATACAAATATAAATATTTATATTGGGCTTACTGAAATCTAGCATTCATTTGTTATCTTTGTAATTGTTTATAAAACTTGGCGGAATCGAAAGATAACTGGTATTTCTTGTTTATGTATTTTTTATTATTGAAGGAATTAATTATTTATGGAATATGTGAAGGAATTCGATATATGGATATTACCTACTAAAGAAGTTTTCAAAAGTTTTAGTTATTTTTAATAATATATAATTATTAATATTTAATGCAGTAATTCTTTGGATTTAATATAAAACTATTTAAATCATTTTTTTTATATATTCATTGCATTGAAATCATTATAAGTTTTGTTCTATTATCTCAGACTTTATTTTTAAGTCCAACTAATTTTAAATTTCAGGGAGACAAATACCCGTTATTGTTCAAATATGGATAGTATACAATCGCATACCATTGATATACCCCTTTTGGTGCCTTGCTGAACCACACGTAAATATATTTATTTTCTAATTCTTCATTCATATAAAAAACACTCATATCCAAATACATACATATAGAATTTGATGGTGACATCATATACATATCCAAATACATCTAGCCATATACATACATATGCTCGCACGTGTGTAACAATTTTTGTTCATTTTAGAACAGATGAGCTTGAACGTTTCTTGATCGGCATACAAACAAATAAATAGATATCTTTAATTCGCTTTTATTGGTGTATTCAATTATATATGTATTTGTTTGTATGTTTGTACAAACATATGTATGTATGTAGGTATGTATGTGTGGGAATGTCAACATTTTTTCTAAAATGAAAGTATCTCTGATATCACGATTCACATTTCTATGCAATGCCGCAAAACTGGTTTAATAACAAACTACGGAAATACGTAGTATATGTATATGAGCTACATACACATATATAAAATATTTTTATACATAGTATCTAGTCAATAATTATATTACTAATCATCGAAGCATCTATTTATAATATATATGTATTTGATACAACACAGTATTTGTAATTAAATAAATCATTTCTGTTTGACACTTGTGGAATCTTTTCAACAACAAAGTGCGTAAATATGTCAATATATATATTTAACAAAAAAGAAAACACTATGCAACTACTCACTTAAATAAGACTCGTTCGTATATTACGCTTGCACTCAACGAACTGTTACTGAATCTTTCTCTTTCAGAATGAGCAGCCAACTATTTGAGTACTTTGCAGATGAGCAATCAGCTGATGCCGAAAATACCAAAAAAGTTATCGATAATAAAGAAATTTGGCACGATAACTATTTTGATTTGAATAAATTAAGAGAGACTTAAAAATAATCCACGTTTTCATTACTTCAAAAACCTGTATGATCACAGGTATTTTTAATTTAATAATTTATAAATAATAAATAAATATTCTTTCCTATACCGCAACTACCGTGTTAACTCTTAATTTAACTGTTGTTTTACGGCAAACTACTATATTTTTTATTAATATTAATTATATAGTTGACAGTTGTTTTGTTAAGCAGATTTATTTAATTCAGTTCATATTTTATTTTATTTGAAACTGTGATACTTGTAAGAATAGTCACGGCTTACGAACCTTTGATAAAACGAGCTAGTTAACTAGTTCCGCAATTGCAACACACTGATGATCGCAGTGGCAGTCCTGCCAACTTGTTTGCAAATAGCTAACTAAAAAAATGCATCCATGGGATTAAGATACATACAACGAATCTAATACTAGTGTGTATGTATTTTTAATGTACACATTTAAAAGTATACTAATAGAAAAGATCACAATAGAACAATCGTAGAAACAGTCTACATTGCTGGCAACTTAAAACAAACGACTTACTGTGAAAAACATGATGACACCATTGACTGGCGTTTTACCAACGCTTTTCGCAGTAATATTCATAATTTTTATTGCGCCTCAAGCCGAATCGACACAATCTGGAATATATGTCGATAATGGTAAAGATCAAACGGTAATGCAACGTGTACTAACCGACGATGACAAGCTTGATGTATCCTATGAAATATTGGAGTTCCTGGGAATAGCCGATCGACCCATGCATCATCGCAACCACGGGCTGTCCCTAAGAAAATCGGCTCCAAAGTTTTTACTTGATGTTTATAATCGCATTACCGCTGAGGAAGGACTCACAATACAAGGTAGCAATGAGCACAGTCGCTCCAAGCGAGATCTAAATGAAAATGAGCAGAATTTTATAACTGATCTCGATAAGCGTGCAATTGATGAAAGTGATATTATAATGACATTCTTAAACAAACGCAATCACAATGTTGAAGAGATGCGGCACGAGCATGGGCGTCGTCTTTGGTTTGATGTTAGCAATATACCAAATGATAATTACCTAATGATGTCCGAACTGCGCATCTATCAGAATTCAAACGAAGGCAAATGGATGACGACTAATAAACAATTTACAGTTACCGTCTATATGATCCGTTCTAGTGGATCGGCACAGAATACATTAGAGCCGCTTTCCTCGGTCAACACAACGGGCGATTATGTTGGCTGGCTGGAGCTGAATGTCACAGAAGCGCTGCATGATTGGCGCATCAATCCGAATGAGAATCATGGCATCTATATCGGAGCACACGCTCTGAATAAGCCAGATCGTGAAATTAAATTGGATGACATTGGCTTGATACATCGCAAGATCAAGCTGGACGATGAGAATCAACCGTTTATGATTGGATTTTTCCGGGGTCCCGAACTGATCAAGGCCACAGCCTCGCACAATGCGCAAAGGCGTACCAAACGCAGCACATTGCATCAGCGAAAGAAGAGCAAATCGGAGCCGGTAAATCCTTTTGCGGAAAATATCGTTGAGAATACACGTAGCTGTCAGATGCAAACACTTTATATTGACTTCAAGGATCTGGGCTGGCACGATTGGATCATTGCGCCAGATGGCTACGGTGCCTTTTACTGCAGTGGTGAATGCAATTTTCCACTTAATGCACATATGAACGCTACGAATCATGCGATCGTTCAAACTCTGGTCCATCTGATCGAGCCGAAGCGAGTACCGAAGCCCTGCTGTGCCCCGACACGATTGGGGGCATTACCTGTACTCTATCACCTGAACGATGAGAATGTGAACTTGAAAAAATATAGAAACATGATCGTTAAGTCCTGTGGGTGCCATTAATTATATCAATTTATATAGTTTGTAAATCTACATTACCATTTACATGTACTTCCAATCTCGAATATATATATATATACATACATGTATATATAAACCAAATGTATTATAAAAAGAATATGATTTTGTATTGTATTGAAAAAAAATTCAACTGATTACAAATGAAATGATAATGCATTTTCCTATACATTCATGTCTGCAACTTATACACAATTAAGTTTCTAAATGAGATTACATATGTAATAATTTCAATTTCAATCTTATAATAATAATAGTAATACATAGTTATTGTAGTTGTACTATCCGTAACTATGCTTAAGTAACATAATTTATCCATAGTGATTTTCTGTTTGATTCTTGTTTTGAATCAATACTTAAAACGCTTTCAACTAGCTGAACGCCAACAGTACTACTGATTGTATAATTAATGTTAATTGTTATGTGTGTGTATCCAATGGTGTCGAAATGCAAATAAATCCATAATTAAATTCCCAACTCTCTTATCTAAAATAGTCAGTGCATGGAAGCCACCAAGAGTGGGAGCGGCTAGATTTAAGGATGCACAAGCTTGCCTATAAAAAAATAAATATGATTAAATGCAAACTCTGTTTGAATTAGTACCGTAAAAATTCTCTAGTCGGCAGAGCCTGCTGTTTATCAAC